TTTCTGATGGTGCTCAATTCTGCAAACCTCTCTGCAACAATTTTAGTCCCTCAAAATTGAATAAATTAATTTTGCAATTCATTACCAACACTAAATAACGTGTTCTCCCTAAATAATGCAAACTTGGTTCGTTCAGTTTGGTGTAGGTTACGGATTTGTACCGTTTAATGACAGATCCAATCTTTACGATCCTGCCAAACAGGAGTGTCATACCAAAAGCAGCTCAGACTTGCCACAGTGACATGCTATTCTAGGCAAGTACACCGCAAAAACACGTTTAGTGGGAGAAAGGCACCTTATGTAAACGCAGGTACCATCTCTTACCGGACGGTTCCATGAACCGAAAAGGTTGCTGCTTTTTCTACGGGGTGTAGCCCACGTAACTGGTCATGGTTTACCTGTGGTCTTCTGCCCACCCTAAACACCCGCAACAAATGACTAATTCCCACTTTACTTCGCTGCCTGCTCTCAAAACCTTTTCATTATAAAAACGCTGTAAGAAAAAACATGCACCGTGCTCCCATCCCATAGAAAACGTATTACAGCACCAAACACATTTTTTTACCAATACTTCGCTCATTACCACACTTTTCTCTGTTCCTCAATCGCGTCTGCAAGCTTGGCATCCTGCTCTCTGACCTCTCCCGGGAACATTGAGTAGGTGAAAAGAAGAGATTTGACACCTGAATCGAATATGGCACTTACGCCCTGGCTGAAAAAGAGGTACGAGGCCACAAGAAAGATAAGAGCGGGGATCATAACCTCTTTTAGCGGGGTGTTCTGATCCTTGATAAACAACCACAGGCCAAAGCAGTAGATAAGCGCAAAAATAATACCGATGAAATTGAGGAGTGTGGTGATGGCAACGCTGTTCGTGATGGCATGGTTGCTTGGCTGCGAAAGAATTCGCCACGACTCCTTGGTCGACTCTACGTATCCCTTTCCGGTCAGCGCGATGTGGCAGTACGCCCATTCATTGGAGAAATTCACGATGTCCTGCAAAATGTCGATCAGCAAAAGAAGTATGGCGTAGAAGAACCCTCCCACAGCGCCGCTCCTTCTCCTCTCCCTGTCTACAAGCATGCGCAACACCGTTATCAGCGCGATGAGGAGTGCCCCAAAGCAAACCGACCCGAGAGCGTACAGCCAATTCTTAATAGCATCGGCTGCCCGTTGAGTAGACGAAACAGTGCGGAACAGGAAGTGAATAGCAACTATGGAGGCGATGAATACCCTGAGAGAATAGAAGACCACGAAGAATGTCCATGAGACAGCCAAGAACTCACAAATCAGCGAAATGATCCTTTCCTGCTTGTCCAGGCCCATGTCAAGAGCCACGTAGACATAGAACATCGCTGTCCACCCCGTCAAGAAGAGGGCCAACACGCAGATAACAGAGAATATGTTGGTGCAGATGATCTGTGTCGCGGACCTTGCGACCTGCGCCGCATATTTGATGTGCTTTCTCAGGTATAGAAAGTACATAACGAGCGTAAAGACAGAAAATACGACAGATACGATGATGCCGTATATATGCCCTACGCAGATGGCCAGTACCACGGAGATCACGGGCAAGAGTATGCAGCTCACATGCATTGCAGGTGCAGGAAAGTAGAGCAATGCTGCCAAGTGTATGCCGAATGATGAGAATCCGCACACAAACGTGAAAATAAGCAACTTCATGTCAAGATGAGATACCAGATCGAAATATGACTTGGTCTTGGACGTTAAGACCACGTACGTGATGACAGAGGCCATGAACACGATGTACAGCGCGAGTGCCCATAGATCATTCACTCTTCTTGTTGTTTCTTTGTATTGTGGATGAGTGGCTGGCATTTCGTTTGTTAAGGGGTGCTTTTTGTTGCTGATTCTTAAATAAGGAAGTGTTTTGATTGGGACGATGAAACGGTGTGAAGGGGAGTGAGAGAAGAGAAATTTTTGTGTTTTAGGTTGAATTGTGTAGCGTTGGGAACAAAAGAAGTGCTGGGAACGAAGGAAGTGCTGAGAACAAAAGAAGTGCTGAGAACAAAAGAAGTGCTGGAAACGAAGGAAGTGCTGGAAACAAAAGAAGTGCTGAGAACAAATCATAGCAAACATAGAACTGTAAAGGTGGAAACGCATAAGCAACATAAATGCAGAGTGTAGAGGAAGTGGGGAGTAAATTATTACTCGCTGTTTCAATGGCCCATTCTTTTGCACTAATTTACCATTTACGGCGAGGAATGGATGCATTCTTGAGCTAAAATTTTAAAAATTAAATTTGCTCATCAATTTCGGGTTAAATGAAGAATGCGCTTTTGGCTAAAAATTCGAAATTGAAGTTTGAGATACCGAAAGGTAATTGGTTAAGTTAATTGAAGTGGAGAGTAAATCCATTTGTTCAAAATTGATTGAATCCAAAACATCAAAAATAAATTGGCTAAATTTGTTTTAATTGATGTTGCTAGATATTTTTTTCTACAGACACATCCTCTCTTTTAATATTAGCAAATAAACACGCAAATGGATTTATTTACCACTTCATTTGAATAGCGAATTCGTCTACTTTGGCCGATGTAATCTGTTTTGATTGCAATTTGAGAATACTGTGACAGCACATACTTATCTTGCACAAAAGAACGTAGGAAATTGTAGCAGGTAGTGAGTAGGAGCTACTGAAACACGTTAAATTGATTTTACTGCGGTTCCTTGCGGTGTGCAAGGATACCGGGCAGGGTTGGATGGTACAAAATAGAGCGAGGATAATGTGGGTAGGTCTAGTTAGCGAATGGATTTTACTCAATGATGGTGCGAAGGGCAGCAAGTCAAATAGCAACAGCTTTTTTGCATTGCGGGCACGAACTTTGAACATCTCGGTTACGTAAAAAATAGAACACAGGAAAAAACATATAAAAAAACGTGAGAACATAACAGTACCATTTTATGGTACGTTCATACGTACTGCATATTTAGAAGAATTATAAAGATGAATAGCTGACCGATCATGTTGGAACCGTACAGTTTGCATTATGCTTCTATAAATAAAATGAACGGTGTAAATACCGTTTATGAAGTACCACAGAACCATAAAATGTTGGATTCGGCAATGTAAGGAATAGAAATGGTGGCAAATACTCCGTTGATTTGTGCAGAGTTGTCACTTAAATATGATTCTTTAATCAATGTTGACATGGAGAAATACTTTTAAAATAATCTAAATTATGGATCCTTAAATCAATACTAGCTGCAATACTTTGATTCAGAAATCAGAACAAAGTTTGCTCGGCCATAGATGCTATTATTTCACTCCTTTAATATGTCATGTTTAGGTCTTTTCACTTGTTTTGAATCTTTTGGTGGGATTGTTTGGTTAACCATTGGCAAGCAATCACGTAATTTTAGTATTATTTGTAAAGGACTGCTGAGTAGTTTTTGAAGAAAAGAATTGAACTGCAATATTTAGCTTTATCGTATGTAGAAATGTGAAATAAAAATATTAAATTCTTTCAAACTGACTCATCATCTTTTGAGCTATCATTTCACATGAAAAACTCTGCACATGTAAAATATCCGATTTCTCGTAGATGAATACCTCCATGAACCCGTCAAGAAAGCACGGACAGTTCGTTTCGTACACAAAACCACGATAATAATCATTGCCATCGAACAGCTGAGAGTCGCACAGACCCAGATAAATTCATCGCAAAACCATACTTGCACCTTTTCAATGGTGATGAGCATCATCACAGCATTCAAATACTTCGCAAAATTTTCTAAAAGATTCAATTTCGATGCCTCTTTGCTGCATTGGTATATCAACGGGATCAGGATTTTCATAGCACTTTCCTCATCACCATACTCAGCTAGGTCTTTCAAGCAATCGTAGACCCGCTGATAGGAAAGATCACACTCGTCAAGTATCCTCTTCATGAGAACGAGCAGGCCTGCCTCCTGCACGAAACTGCTCTGGGACACAACATCGGGGTTGAGCAAGACCATAGACAGGTATGAGAGTATTTTTTGTTTGAAATCTAGCGAGTAGCTGGATTTATAATTATCAATTAAATAAAAAGCGAAGATGCCCTTCTCTTCCGTCCAACCATCCATCTTTTCCATGAACAGATCTTCGACCACATTTTCAGGAATTATCTTTTCTTTAATGTTGAAAAATTTGAAAACCTCTCGTTTGATCATGTGAGGTAAAAAAGTTGTGTGAAATAAAATCAGCAGTGCTTTATAACTAAGACATGGTTATCATGTCTTTTTTTGTGACACAGCCTCATTCAATACATGTAAGTCGACCAGCAGCATGCATATGAAACGGATCATAGCATGTGTTACATTCGTTTATATACTTGGCATGGAGGGGGGTAGAGCGAGGATGTTTGACTATGCAACACACTTTATTATCTTTGCACAGTAAATTCGTTCTATAATTACTCGAAATGCGTGAGTGCAATCGTAATTTCGGTTAGATTCATATTTTGCAGTTTTTCGACTAAAGGTTTGTTTGTTCAGTTCAACAAGCATTGTAATTTGTTTGAGCAGTGCTTTTGTGGATGATGCTGAAGTTAGAAAGTGTATAAAATTGTTTTTTGCTATATATCATTTATTTATCTTTTCTCACCACATTCACGATGGACATTGTACACCATCCTGTACTACGCCTTCATACACACCCTCACAATAACAGAAAGATATGTTGCAACCACAGCACCGATCCTAACTCGCAGACTATGACTGGCGTGACATCTCGAGGTGTACCGAACTTCAGCTATTTTTGTCGATATTTTCGCGCATTTTCACGAAGGGATTGAAAAATTAATTTTTAATTGAAAGTTGCCCCTTTTTTATGTGCGTTTTGGCGATTTTATGGCAATGAAAACTGGGATGATGAATTTACGACTTATTTTGTGACAATTACACGCTAATAAAGTAATCTAATGATATTTTTGTTATATATTCGGTAAAAACGTATTTTGAATTGTCCTGGATCCTTTCTATTTTGTACAGCTGCTTCTCAGCCCTTCTATGAATTACCTGTACAGTAACGAGATAAAGGCCATGCTTTATTCATTTGGTGACAGCAGAAATCCCTCAATACAGACCGCCCAATACGTGGAAAGTGTTCTGAAAACACAAATACAGCGGTTTCTTTCGGCTGCCAACAACATACGAATCAGCAGACGGGGTAAACTCATTAACTTGGAAGACATTGGATTTGTTATCCGCAAAGATCCTTTTAAATTGCAGCGTTTGCTCAATTTTATACACTTCAGGGAGATTAAGGGAAAGCTGGAGAGCAAATTAGAATTCCAATCGAGTGAAGCAGAGTTTACCGATATAAAACCGTTGTGTGAGGACACCAATAATAAATCGGACGTGGACACTCATTTGATAAAAATAGAGCCCGATCTGTCGAAGGTTTCTGGTAATGAGAAGAAGTTCTCATGGATGTTGCCTATGAGAGGCGTGGACACATTTCAACTTAACAGACTGCAGGAAATTGACAACTTGACAGCTACCATGAGCAAAGCAGAATATTTGGAGTTTGCTGAGTGCAGACAATCGAGTTTTGTGTACCGAAAAACCAAGAAATTCAGGGAATTTGTTGGAAATTGGAAGATGCACGACAACATTATTGATGTTCTTGGTTACATATGCTATGAGATGGTGTACAACATTGTATCTATGGTCTTAGCGCTACGTGATAAGCGGAGAGGGTATAAGGTAAAGTTTGGACAGAATGTGCCGATTACCGTCGATGAGATTGATGAGGTGTGCTGGTATGTCCTAAAACAGAACAAATTATTTTTTTAGAACGTGAAAGATCAACGTTTATACTTCTCTTCATATTGGAGGTTCGGTTGCCGCGAATAGCAAGGCTGATGTTTTTATGAGTACCTTTATCTGTGATGAAGATCGAAATGATCGGATGCATGTAAATAAATTGGTAAGGTATGCCGATATTTTCTCCAATGCTGACATAGAACGATACACTGTAACGGTTTCTATTGATATTACTGCTCAACACCTGTGATGAACTAACGATTTTAGTAAAGAAACCGTCCACAATATCAAAATTAAATATCATGTTTTCATTAAGCAACGGGAATAAACTTTTTTTGTATAACTATTATCAAAAATTCTTGCAACCGGTTTCAACCGCAGTGATATCGCGATGTTGTCTAAAACGTGCGTATTAATACGGAATAAAGGTTTATATCCACGTATGGAGAAGTATCACCTTTGTTCGTGCTGCAATACCTAGAGTTTCACAGTATTATTAAACGATCAGTACCACCAGTATAGTACCGATGGCTTGCTCGTGAAACTGCATCTTCAAAATTACATAGTTGGTAAAGTCGATGCGATAACAGAACTATACAAATTGTTTGCACAAATTCTATTCTCTATGCTGTGAACGATACAGTGGGAAGTGTGTTTTGTAAATTTAATTCATAGCGCTGAAGTGCCAAACGTTTTGGTTCGCATGCTTGAGCGACCTATTGGTAATTAAAGCGCTGAAATAATTTTGAAGCAAATTCACGGTGTTAATTTAAATAAACTGACCATACAGGAATGTTGGGACCTCCATACCAGCTTATTAGCTTAAAACCAAAACTTGATCTAGAATATACACCATTAACCGGTAATAAATCAGAATAGAAAAATTACAATTTTAAGAGACTTATACTACTTTTAACTAAAGATGGAGAAATAGGTACAGCTCACCTACCAAAGGCTTTGGAGTCGCTCAGCACAATTCAACGCAGCGATCTGTGGAAATTCAAATGTACATGTAAACGGACATTTCAGATGTTCGTATCTTTTCAGGAAATAACTCGACTTATGGCTTTCTCCACGGACTTTGTGTTTTATTTGAAATATAAACACTCGAGTGAATTATCCTTCCGTTTATTTCATTTCTCAAGTTCTCCTCATAATCCTCGTCTCCATACATAAATGGCTCGTTGTAGCGCTGCTTGTAATCGTTCAATTTCTCTAATATTCGAGATTCGATTTCAAGCAACGAAGGGATGATTTTCCGCCGAAATCTCTCCTCATGTAGTAATTGTATCGAAGATCCCTTGAGCCTTCCTGGATCGCGGGCTGTCTTCTCAAACGATTCTATTTCAACGATTACCCTGTCTCGTTTCTCAATAAGCTCTTTCAGCTCCACAAAATGCTCTTTTCGCTCAGTGAGGTCACTAATTATTTTCTTCATTAAGACAATGCTTTCCCTTGTTCGCTTGAGCTTGTCAAATTTGAGAAAGAAAATTGAACAGATCGCTTTGAACTCCTGCTCAGTGGCATCAAATATTTCATCAAATTGCACCTTTTCCTCTTCAAGCAGCTTTTCATAAGTATCCTTGAGCTTTTCCAGATCGTTTGGTAATAGAATGTCGCTATCTCTATTAAGCATATCTAAAATTCGATGAATAGCACGCCTCAGAACAATTTTGAGCTTTTCTTCTTTCTCTTCCTGCTCCATGATTTCCTTTGCCGTGCTTGCCATCTCAAAAAATTTCATATTCTCCAAATTTTTTATTTTGTGCTTCAAGAGTTTTTTTCTTAGTTCTCTACGCAGATCGCATCTTGAGTTTACTTCGTTTAAGGTTTCCACATGCAGCTTTGCCAAAGACTTTAGGTTATTTGTACTGCACTCATCATTAGTATATCCACTGTATCTGCCGTACAGATCGTAGTAATGATCACCTATTTTCTTCAAATAACAATGAATTTTTTTCATCATCACTTTCTCTAGAACTGTTATCCGATTTCTCTCGTTCTCTACGTTCAACTGATCTAACATCAAGTTTTCTAACCTTGGAAATTTTATAGTAACACCGATCTTAGAGCCCCTTGCAATCAATTCTTGCTTCGTTCTCTCTAATTTGTCCACAATTTGCGACATTTGTTCCTTAACCCTTTCTAACACCGTATCTACCTCCCTGGAAATGTTTAGAAAGTTCTTTTCAAGATACTTCTGTGATGGAAAAAGCAGTTCATCAATTGGCAGCATTTTGTGAACCGTGTCGTTCAGCCTATCGATGTTACTATGGATTTTCGAAACTATGTTATTTTTCATTAAGGGCAAGTATTTAATCCTGGTATTATGACTAAGCCAAGAATATCAAGTCGTATTTTGAGATTGACTGTATATTTTGTGTTTGTAGGATGGTATGATATTATATTTTGTATGTTCTACTATCTGTTCAAATCATCATTGTATTTCGTGTTAACCGCTACATGTCCCAACAGCTATTTCAGAGGGATGAAAATTAATTTAGAATACGGAGCAAAAATTTTGGAGTAATAGTATAGAGTAGTGATATAGAACACATTTTATATTAAGCTATCTGCGCTATCCCATTTATTAAACGAAAGAAAGTCGAACTGCTTATTAAACGATATTTTCTTCCTTTGCCATATTATGTCTCTTTACTTGTTTTAGATCTTATAGTAAGAGTTAAAGGATTATTTTCTATTCAGTGATCACGTAATTTTTGAGTTGTTTGTAAATAGTGGCTGAGAGTGTGGCAGAAAGAATGAGTTGCACAACAACTTTTGACTCTTCATGCAGTGCAAATACCTGAAACAAGCATTTTTTATTTTTCTCGAAGGGTCAAATAATTTATTTCTCAAAATTGATCAATCAGCTTCCGAGTTG